ATGAAAGAAGAAAGGCTGGTTTTTATGACTGGAAAATGATGGCTTGCTGTAATAACAATATACATGACGAATTAAGTCTCAGAATTCCTTCACTTGCTACCTCTGTTCTATTCTTTCTACTGTGTCTAAGAGTCAATTTGACATACATGACATTCCCATATGATCTTGTAATTTCCCTTGCAATATTTTCATTTCCCTTATCTACAGCATTTTTGGCAATTTCTTCAGAACTGACAGTTTAAAGATTCCTTCTTCAATTTACTATTTAACAATCCAAAACTTTTAGAGCAACAATTGTTTAATACAAGAGCAACAATGAGCACAAGATTAAATAACCGTCAGTGCACTAAGCATGCTCAGCATCTGGCGACCATCACAAAGCCAAAGTTGTACAAACACTGTGAGAGTTTAAAAAAAATTGAGATTGAGATTGAAGCAATAATCAAAAGTTTCCCAAGCAAAACAAACAAAAAACAACAAAACAAAACCCTAGAACCATATAGATCACCACTGAATTCTATTAAAGGTTAAAGAAGGGTTAATACCAGTGCTCCTCAGACTCTCCCATAAAACAGAAAGGGGCAGGTACTTAAGGAGACCACTTGGTTGGTAAAGCAGCAGCCATGCAAGCATGAGGCCCTGGATTCCAATCCACAGCACCAGGTAAAAGCTGGACACTGCAGCACACACTTGTGATCTCACTGCAGGGAGCAGAGGAGCAGTGAGTGGGTGGGCAACAGAGAGCTCCATGTTCAGCGAGTGACCCTAACTCAAAAACTAAAGTGGAGAGACTGCAAAGGTGGCACTTCCTCTCAAATCTGGAACTAGAGAAGGGCACTGATCCCACATTCTTACTCAATACTTCTTAAAATGTTAGCCCAAGACACTAAAAGAATACAAGTTAGAAAAGCACTCAAATATCACTGTTTACAGGTAGCATAATCTTTAAGAGTCCCTGAAGACTAGCCAGCCTTGATAAACCCTTTCAACAAGTGGCAGAATACAAAATCAACATCCAATAATCAGAAGCTTCTTTTACATGATGCACTTGCTGAGAGAAAAATCAGAGGGTTAAAAATCCCTATCATAGCAACAGAACAAGAAAATTTGAACACAGGGAACTTCCCAGAGACTCATACTCCAACCAAGGACTATTCATGGAGATAACCTAGAACCCTGACAATGCAGCCACTTCTGATGAGAACTGATAGACTAAGATCAGAAAGAAGGAGAGGAGGACCTCCCCTATCAGTGGACTTGGGGAGGGGCATGCATGCAGAAAGGGGGGGAGGGCGGGACCAGGAGGGGAGGAGGGAGGGGCTTATGGGGGGGATACAAAGTAAATAAAGTGTAATTAATAAAAGTTAAACAAAAAATTTAAAAAAATCCCAATCATAAAAAAAATAAAGCCTAGTGATTACCTTAACCAAGAAGGGCAAACACCTCTACAATAAACACTTTAAAACTCTGAGGAGAGAATCTGAAGACACTGGTTGATAAAGACTTCCTATGCTCATGAATTGGCACTATTAGTTTTATGAAAACAATTACATTACTCAAGTGGCTTACAGAAATAATGGAACCTTAACCAATATCCCAGAGATACTCTTCAAATGATAGAAAAAAATCCTGAAATTCATATGGAAGCAAAAGAGACCATATGTTGGGGGTTGGTCTGGTGCTGTGATTCTCATGCTAAGTACTAGCCCCCCCAAAATCTAGTTGCTATCCAGACAAGCACATTCTCACATACACTAAATGATGTTGGGTAAACCCTGCTCCCTAATTTAAAGTTGACTGGTTAAAAAAAACAGCAAGGAGCCTGTAACTGGACAGAAGAAAAGGAAGCAGGGCTTAGGTTAGCAGGCATGGGGTCTTAGGCAGGGACTGCCAGGCTAGGAAAAAGGGAGAGAGAGAAGAGAAGAAGCTGGAGAGAACAAAATCACCATGGGGCAGTATGGAACATGAGCATGTGGCCATAAGGGCTGGCCCGATAGAGCAGAAGCAGCCCAGACAGGATGACTTATTGGCAAGTAACTTGGGAAACACCAACTGGGAAATGGCAAAGTAGCTTAGAGAGTTGATATCTGCCCAGTTATGGTGCTTTAAAGGTCTCTGTCTCGATTATTTGGGAACTAGCTGTGATAGAGAAGCCCTCTAGAGTCTAATATCCTTTCCACAACAACCATGAATATCTAGGGTGTCAGAGTCTTACTCAGCAAAAGGAGCAATGTGACAATATGACAGTACTTAACCTCAAATTTACTACAGAGCCACAGTAACAAAAACATAATTGTACTGGCACAAAATTATGGACATGGAGACCAATGGGATAGAGACCTAGAAACAGCCTACAAAGTAAATTCCTAATTTCTGACATTTTAAAAAAACATGCACTGGTGAAAACAGCCTTTAAATAAAACAGTGCTGGAAATGCTGGTTTCCGTATGTATAAGAATGAAAGCAGATCCATGCATCTCAAAAGGCACAAAATTGATCTCTGAATGATCACAGAACTTTCTGTGAGACTTAACACTCTGAAACTGTTAGAGAAATATACATACAAAGGATTCAAGATAAAGATACATAAGCAAGACATTTCTAAAAAGGACTCTAATAGCACAGGAAATAATCTTAGGATATCTCATAAGATTACATGAAATTAAAAGGCTTCTGCAGGACAACAGAAATAATCAGCAGAGTGAGGAAAGGTTAAAAAGCTGAAAAACATTTGAAAGATACATATTGGACAAAGAGGTAATTTCAAGCATACAAAAAGCTACAAAAACTAAACACTAAAAACAATACCATTCTGTCAACACATGGGCAGATGAACTTACAGACAGTTTTCAAAAGGAAAAACACAAACAGCCAATAAACACATGAGAGTACAACATTCCTACAAAGAAATGTAAAATTGCTCTGAGATATCATTCACCACTTTTAAAATGGCTAGCATGGAGAAAACAAATGACAATATGAATGGGAAAAGAAGAACATATATTTGCTGCTATTGGGAATGTAAACTTGTGCAACCATATAGAAATAAATACAGTTACATTTCTTTTGAAGTAGAAACAGCTGCACGTGACCCAGATGTAGCACTCCTGGGTGCACTCCTGAAGTGCACACGTGTACTTCCATGCCTAGTGTTGTGGTATTTGCCATGTCTAAGAAATGAAACTAGCCTAGATGCCCATCAACGGATGAAGAAAACAGTACATATGTACAGTGGCAGTTTTGTCTAGAAATAAAGAAAAATGAAATTGTGACATTTTGGTAGAAATGGATGGAAATAAAAATCATTATTTTAAGAGACTCCAAAAGACAATATTGTCTATAGTGTCCTATACTCAGACTGTAGATTTAAAATATAATAAGAGTACACTATGAAAGTATATATTTATCTGTAGATGGGTGCATGTCATGAAAATAGAAACAGGGTCATAAAAGGGGTGGAAGGAGAAATAGAGGTCATACAGTGTATGAGACACCAAAACAGGAGTGAATCTCTGGAAGAGAGAAGGGAGTTAGAGCCAGCCAGAGAGGAGCAGAGGATTCATGGGGAAGAGGGGAAAGGGAATGACTAACACAAACGTAGCCAGGCGGTGACAGAGCCTTTAATCCCAGCATTCGGGGGCAGAAGCAAGCAAATCTCCAAATTCAAGGTCTACAGAGTGAATTCCAGGACAGCCAGGGTTATACAAAGAAACCTTGTCTCAAAAAACAAGAGACAAACAAACAAAACAAAATAACACAAACATGTGGATATGGCAGTGAAGCCCATTATTTTGTATTCTAACCTAATAATAAAGCTATGAGTTCTTTCCAACTTATATTACATAGACATTGGAAAGGGGAGAAAACAGGAACAGGACAGGAGCCTACCACAGATGGCCTCTGAAAGACTCTACCCAGCAGGGTATCAAAGCATATACTGAGTCTCATAGCCAAACTTTGGACAGAGTGCAGGGAATCTTATATAAGAAAGGGGAGATAGAAAGACCTGGAGGGGATAGGAGCTCCACAAGGAGAGCAACAGAACCAAAAAATCTGGGCACAAGGGTCTTTTCTGAGACTGATACTCCAAGGACTATGCATGGAGATAACCTAGAACCCCTGCACAGATGTATTCCTTGGCAACTCAGTCTCCAAGTGAATTCCCTAGTAATGGGAACAGGGGCTGTCTCTGCATGGACTCAGTGGCTAGCTCTTTGATCACCTCCCCCTGAGGGGAGGGCAGCCTTACCAGGCCACAGATAAGAAAATACAGACAGTCCTGATGAGACCTGATAGGCTAGGGTCCCCTATCAGTGGACTTGGGGAGGGGCATGGGAGGAGAGGAGGGAAGAAGTGTGGGGTAGGGAGGGAATGAGGGAGGGGACTACAGTTGTGATACAAAGTGAATAAACTGTAATTAATAAAAAAATAAAGTCTGAAAAAAATTATTTTGCTATTTATCTGCAAGTATTTAAAGAGATATGAATGTGCACCCTCCCTTAGTAAGATTAAAGATGAAATAATAAAGAGAGAAATTTAAAAAAACATGGTGAAGACTAATAAAGTAAAATCTGATGAGATTTCTTTTACTGGCTGATTTTGGCTGAGTTTCCAATCTACTACTGAAAAGAAAGAAACAATACTAGTTCAAAGACAATGACATCACACTGTCTGCTTCAGGATCATTAACAGATGTTCCATAGTGAGTCCATGTTGAGTTGTTACCTCTATTTTAAAAAATATTAAATATCAATAGTCAAGTCACCAAAATATCCAACAGCTTAATAAAATCAGTGCTTTATGAGAGCCTATACATTGGGAGAAAGGAAAAAATTAGTTTACAGCAGGACAAACTGGCCTCAAACTCAGAGATCCGCCTGCCTCTGCCTCCAGAGTGCTGGAATTAAAGGCATGAGCCGCCACACCAGCAAGATTCTTATAGTGACTAATGGTTCTACTCATTATAGCACACTGCTCACAAGTGGGTAACATAGACTGACCTTCTTGAATCGCCATGTCAACAGCTAGCCCAGAAGCTGAATGCAGAAGCTTTTGATAATTCTGTGCATTTTGGTCAAATAGCTGTACAAGAAGAGTACACGTCTTTTCATATTCGCACCTGCTGACTGTGCACAGCTGCTCCAGCTGCTGGAATACGGTAGCAGTGTCATCCAGGGGGTCATCTAAATTATCTCTGAAACACAAAAGACATTTGCTTAAAATGTGATACATCTTAATCACAACACAGAAACTTTGCAATGTAAAAATGCTATGATGAACCAAGAAATCAAAGACAAATGGATTGGAAGGTAAAAAAATAAAACCCTATATACAAAGTTGCTGTGATTATGCACACAAAAATTACCAAAAACCCACAGACACAGAAAATATGTAGTTCTTACTAGAACTAAGAAGTGAATTTCCTGAGGTCATAGCAAACAGGCTCAAAATGCAAAAGCAGCTGTGCTGCTCTATAACGGCAAAGAAGAAAGGAAAATGAAATATCCAACAACAGTGTCATACAATTTAAAAGGCATGGTAAAGCCAGGCATGGTGGTGCACACCTGTAGTCCCTGAACTCAGGAGGCAGAAGCAGGTCAATCTATGTGAGTTTGAGGACAGCACAGTGTACATAGCAAGTCCAGGACAGCCAGGGCTACACAAAGAAACCATGTCTCAAAAATAAAACAAACACACAAAAAACATGGTAAGCTGGGTGAGGGGCACATGCCTTTAATTCAAACTCTCAAGAAGTGAAGACTGAAGGATTGGCCTCAGTTACAAGTAAATTTAAAGGCTAGCTTGGAGCCCATGAGACACTGTTCTCAAAAATAAGTCAATAAAAATAAGTAACTGAATAATACAAAAGAACTAACCAAATATGCTCAAAATCTAAAAGCTGAAATTATAATCTACTAATAAAAGTAAGGAACTAAACAAATGAAAAGGAAGACACACCATATCTGCTGACTGAAAGGCTCCACACTGCAGCAATCTCAGTTCCTCTCTCAAATTAACAAATGGGATTCCATAAAATCCCATCAAAACAGGACTTTCCTTGTAGAAATTCACAAACTGGGCAAGAGAGAAAGCTCAGCTGGCACAGTGCTTACTGCAAAGCCTGGGACCTGACCTTGCACATAAAGATGGAAGGACAAAGACAACTGCCGGAAGCCGTCCTCTGATATGCACACAGGTGCTAGCCATGAATTCTCCCATACACAGCAATAATACATTTGTAAACAGAGTTAGAGATTGGAAAACTGATGCTAAGCTTTACATACAAAAATGAAATGAAGATATGAAGGGGTTAGGGATTTAGCTCAGTGGTAGGGTGCTTGTCTAGCAAGCACAAGGCCCTGGGTTCAGTCCTCAGTTCCAAAAAACAAAAACAAACACCAAAACAACAACAACAACTAAAAGTAACTGAAAATAAAATGATGTACAATAGCCAGAACAATTCTGAAAAGCGAAAACCAAGTTAGAAGACTCACACTGTCTGGTTTCAACATTTATGTGTCTATAGTAACTAAGACAGGGCACCTCTGGGAAGATATGTGGATTGCTAACAACAGTCTCAAAAGGATCCATATACATGCGGTGGATTAATTTTTAACAACAATGTGACTGAAAGTCAATTAGAAAGGACAGTCTGTATTCACAAATGATGCTGGGTGATGAATTGATGACCCAATGCAAACAAGATGAGGACAAAAAAACCTGACCTTAACATTATATAACAAATATAAATATATACATATTACACATATAACATAAAATACAAAACTTGGCTTTTTTGTTTGTTCATTTTTTTGTTTCTGAGCCAGTCTTCCTTCCTGTGTGACCTAGGCTGGCTTCCATGCAAACACACAGCTTATGATTCCCTGCCTCAGCATCCCAACTGCTGGGAGTAAAACACATTTCCACACTCAGAACAAAAATTAACTTCAGATGAGGAAGGGAGGGTGGGATTGGGAGGGAAGGTGAGAGGGGGCTACAACTGGGATACAAAGTGAATAAACTGTAGTTAATATAAAAAATAAAAATTAAAAAAAATTAATTTCAAATGGCTCACACACATAAGTGTAAATCTTAAAACTGTAGAAGAGTGGAGAAAAGCTCTGACTTGGAATGTGGTAAAACATTCCTTAGATATAGTAGTAAGCACGATGCATAGAACAGAAAACAATAAGCAGGAGCTTATCAAATTTAACTTACTAAAAACTCAGAGAGTAAAAAGGCAAATGATAGTCAATGAGAGAGTAGTCTGTAAGACTCCAACAAGAATATATGAAAATTTATGAACAGAATATATAAACTTCTAAAATTTCAATCTACAAAAATAACCCAATTTTAAAAAGGGGTTGGCAACAGATTTTTCTTAGTTATTTTCATTTTATTTTATGTGTGAGGGCTTGGCCTGTGTGTATCTGTGCACATGTGTGCCTGGTGCCCGTGGAAGCCACAGGACAGCTTCAGATTTCCCTAGGGCTGCAGTTAGACAGGTGGCTGTCAGCTGCCATGTCGGTGCCGGGGACAGAACGTGGGTCCTGAAAAAGAAGGCTCTTAACCACTCAACTTCCTATCTCTCCAGCCCCATGGCAACACATTTGACAGATACTTGGCCAAAGAATAAACGCAGACAGCAAATAAGCCTGTGAAACAATATTCACTATGGTTAGTGTTGGAACTCACTGACTGAATACAAATCAAAACCACAATGAGGTGCCCCTGCACACCTACTAGACTCACCATCAAACTAAAACACCAACAGCCAGTATTGGCAAACTCTCATAGAAAGTAGGTGTAAAGTAGCCGATGTTACAGCCACTTCAGAAAATAGTTTGGCAGCTTTTATAAGACAATATATACTTATCATGCCACCAGGAAACCCACATATAGGTATTTTACACAAGAGAAGTGGAAACATGTTCATATAAAATTGTGCACAGGAATGATGCCAGCAGTTTATTCCCGTTGCTAAAAAAGCAGACAATCCAAATATCCATGTACAGTAAATGGGTGCACTGATACATTCACATATGGGATTCTACTCTGTTATAAAAAGAAGAAAAGAAGCCTCTGATAGAACATGGAGGAATTCTAAATGAAAGATAACAGGCTTCAAAAGCTAAATAAATCTCTGATGATTTCATATATACAATATCCTAGAAATGGCAAAAATTGTAGGAAAAACAGATTAGTAATTTGTTAACTAAAAAGGGACCAAAGCGTCTCTCCAGTGATGGTACTATATTCAGTCGTAAGTACAGTGGTGGTTACACAACTGTACCTACTTGTCAGAACTCATAAAACTACATACATCAACAACGGTAACCTCAACATTTTACTTCAATCTTTAAAAATCCCAAGATGAGATAGATAAAAAATAAACATTTAATAGTTTATACCTCACAACAATGGCAACGGATTCCAATCGGGAAGTGATAAAGGCCTTGGTGATTTCAGGTGCGTAAGTGTCTAACAAGTGGGGTTCAGCTGACTTTACAAAAGGAACGGATGCTACCATCCTCTGCCACAGAGTTAACAAGTAATGAACACTGTTGGGGGCGAACTCCCAATGCTACAAAGAAACACAGCAAATGTTATTTAAAATGACATTATAGCTTTCCAGACTAAAAATCATACAGCCAAATTACCACAGACAAAAATTAACTGGGCTTGCTATTGTTGCTGTTGTTTTGGTTTACGGGTTTTGTTTTGAAACAAAGGCCTCATGGAGCCTAGGCTAAGCCTTGAATTTACTGTGTACCTAAGAAGGACCTTTAACTTCTGATTCTCCTTCCCCTGCACCCTGAATGCTGCTATTAGACATGTACTACCATACCAATTTGCATGGTGCAGTGACAGAGCACAGAGCTCTGTGGATATCAGGCAAGCATTCTATGAACTGAGCTACATCAGGAGCCCTGACAAAATTCACTTGTATCCTGATAACTAAGGATCACTTAAAATAACAAATTTTATGAATCCAAGAAGTATTAAAAAACTAGTATCTCTCAATGACTACTAAAATGTTACCACAGTTCCTCAAAATCTATTCCACAAATATTTTGCAAGAGCTGATATCAAGTGGAAATGGCTTCCCCGCAACTTGCAAAGGAATTTTCCCCTAACACAATCTGTAAAAGCATTCTTTTTATTCTTTAGATTTGACTACAGATTCTCATTACTCAATTACTAGAAATTTAAGCAGAATACCAATTTTTATTATTTTATGTGTTGCAATGACTATTTTACCTAAAAACTTTGTAAAGAATAATTCCAAAGTACTCAAATAAGCATTTAAAAACAGAAACCACCTCCACCAAACCTTTATCAAGAAATTGTTTAAATAGTATAGTTTGACCTCAATTGTTCCAATGTACTTACCTGTAGGCTGGTAATAGTAAAATTGGCAATCAACCCAATAACTTCGGCATACTCCTTCACCAGCACTAATTCTCCCAGCTGGTAGTTTGTCTTTAAACGAGCCAAAAACCGACAAAATTCATGATAATTGCCAGGATCAGACAAACCCTAAATTAAGATACCAAAAATAGATAGATAGATAGATAGATAGATAGATAGATAGATAGATAGATAGATAGATAGATGAATGAATGAATGAATGAATAAAGGCTCTTCAAAGAAACTGATAAAAATCCCCATGTATTTTTATTGATACCCCTAGTTCCATAGTCACTTACTTTGCGGCTGATGGTTAGATAGCAATATGTAGAAACAAATGAGCCCTGCTAAGTTTAGTGTCATTGTCAACTAACAATAAGGAATCTAAAGTAGAGCTTTTAGAAGTAGCACTGCACTAAGGCAACTAAAATATGTTTGGAACTTATTACACAAAAAGCCTTGTGTGTGTGTGTGTGTGTGTGTGTGTGTGCGTGCACACGCACAAATATGCACGTTCATGCGTGTGCATGCATCTATGCCTTTATACATTATCCAACGGCACAAATAACAAATTCTTTTAATTCAACACTTATTAAGTAGCTATAGGTTCTGTGGCTCCAAGTTAACTTTGTCTCTAAATGACAAGGTATTAAATAAGTTACTGCAGAGAAGAAAACAAAGTTTAACAAAACCCCTCCAGAGCATACAGGTGACTTTTACAAGAAAAGTTAAAAGGAACAGACAAAGAAAGGTCTTTCCAGGCAACTGTGAGTGGCCTGAATACAAGACAGACAGACACAGGCACAGACACAGACACAGACAAACATATTACCCTTAATAGTTCAACACTGCACAGTATAGCTGGCATATTTAAAAATGGACTGGTTGAACGAATAATAATAGTTAAAGAATCTAAAGATTTTACTAATGGGGGCTCTAGGAAAGAAAAATATTATCTATTTTCTAGGACAAATTCCAAGATTACATCTTTTTTTTTTTTTTTTTTTAAAGTTTTTCAAAACAAAGTGTCTCTGGATAGCCTTAGATCACCTGGACTCACTTTGTAGACCAGGCTGGTCTCAAACTCACAGAGATCCACCTGCCTCTGCTTCCCCAACTGCTGGGATTACAGGCATGTGCTACCATGCCCAGCTCCAAAAATACACCTTATAACAAGGTCTTTTAATACACATTTGTAATTTTAAAATGCCAGGTTGACTTTTACACTGAGCAGGAAATATCTTAGGAGTGGTATCTGACATTGGCCCAGTATCTCTTACAGTATAGTTGATGACAGTAAGTTACACAGATAACTTACAACCTTAAAGTAAAACCCCATCTATTAACAAAATGAGTTAATAGACACATATGCTAACACTGAAAAGATAAAAACAAATCTGTACATTGTAAGGTATCCCACCTGGGAAGTACTGGAATGTAAAGGATGTGGGCAGGGGATGTCTAGGTTGCACGATCAAGATATATTATATACACACATGAAATTAATAGAGCAAACGAAAATCAAGATACATTATATACACACATGAAATTGATAGAGTAAATGAAAAGTATTGCAAAAATTAAAATGAAAAAAAAATCTCTTTAGTAGCCAGGAAAAAAAAAAAAAAGCCTTTGTAGAATGGTAAAACTTTATTTCTATACAAAGTTTTCAATGCCCCAAATTGCCAGTAACAGAGAAGCACAGATAAAGCTCTTTACGCGGCTATTTACATGTTTACAGCCCATGGTTTAATTACAAATTCATTCAGCCAGAAAAACCAAAGCAAAAATGATACAATTACTTGTTAGACATTCTAACCCTCTCATGGTTGTCTCTGCATGAGTGTGCTGGAGCTAATGCAGTCTATTTCTAAAGCTACAAACTGAGGTGTCCACCAGAGGGCAAAAGACACTATTTCAAAACTTAAGGTAACTTATTTCAATATTAACAATTAAGTTTAAGTTATCTCCTACTTCAAAAAGCAGATATAATCCTCAAACACTTCAGCAATTTAACTAGTACAAGCAACAAATAAAGTACAATGAAAGACGAAAGCATGATTTAAAACATGACTTCTATTTATATTCACCTAAAACAAACAAAAACAAAGAAGGAATACCAAATCAACATCGAAATACTCATTTAAAAAAAAAAAAAACTGTAGCAAATGAGACCTCAGGAAGATGAATACAATACTAAATATTTTCTTCCCCAAACATAATAAATTTAAATTTTTGTTATAAATTTAAATGCATTATAATAAATTATAATAATTTTAAATTTCATTATATACCAGTGGGCAGAAATATGATTTCTATATGCCAAATATTAATTAAATTATTTCATAATTACCTGAGGGTTTTCAAGTATCCTCTTTACTCCTTTAATTAAGTTACCAAGGTACTTGGCACGTTCAGGACTGCTAAATAAGGATCTTCTTGTAGAAGCAAACTGAACCAAGCATGAAAGTGCCTAAAAAAACAACAGACACTTTTTCACGTCAACTTTAGAAGTAGCTATGTCCACTATTACCATTCACAAGCCTTTGCTCCATGCTAAAAAACAGCACTTATAGGTAGTCCTTGGGTTATTTTTAAAATCTCTCCTCAGTCTCCTATGCTTGGGGACTGCATTTTTCTCTGTGGCTTTCAAAATGCTGACTTTTTTTTTTAAGATTTTGTTTTTATTTACTATGTATACAATGTTCTGCTGCATGTGTGCCTGCACACCAGAAGATGATCCCAGATCTCATTATAGATGGTTGGGAGCCACCATGCGGTTGCTGGGAATTGAACTCAGGACCTCTGGAGGAGCAGCCAGTGCTCTTAACCTCTGAGCCATCTCTCCAGCCCCCAAAATGCTGACATTTTTATTTTAGTTGTTTATTTGCATTTTACAAAGGAAATGGCCTCATGGGCTATGGAGATGGCTCAGTGGGTAATGACACTTGCATGAACACCTGACCACAAAGCTGGACATGGCCACACATGCCTATAAGGTCAGTGTTGGGGGAAGAGACAGACACCAACAACTTGCTCACCAGCCATTCTACTCAAAAGAGGAGGGAGCTTCGGGTTCAAACAGAAATCCTGTCCCAAGGGACTAAGATTCACAGCTATAGAGAAAGTGTGCACGTATACACACACACATTCACACATACCACATGCACACAGAAGACATTTTAAAGAGAAAAAAAGGATTTCAAGGTGACATTGTCATGCGAGAAATCTATGTAGCACTGTGTTCTTATTTGCACCTATCCCCATCCCCCCCTCTCTCCTTGCTGGATCACTTTATACCTCCTTCTGAGTGTGAGACATACAGAATGTACACTCACTTGTATTTCATATATGCCAAATCTGCCAGAGTAGGCCCCAAACTAGGATACACTAACAAAGTGCCCAACTACTTAAGATACTCATTCTGTTTGTGAACCAATGAACTAGGTGTTCTATCAGAAACAAAATGATCTTAAAGTTATAGAGTATTGTAAACTATATATTATGGATCCTGCAAAGGAGTAATAACTCCTTAACTGAATCCGGCACATAACAAATTTACTCAGTCATAAAATATATTCTACACCATTCAAAAACATCTTACGGGGGGGTGGGGGTTGGAAACACTGCTGTGAGAGTTAGGAACTTTCTAAGGAGTATCTGTGACCTAGCTATCTTCCTGCGTTTCCAGGCGATTTCATTACTTAGGTTCCCAACTCCAACAGCAGTTACTATTACTGCTGTCTCAGTAACCTAAAAGACAAACTGATCTCTGTATGTTTAATCTGGGTTCAAATGTTTACTTGCCTAGCTAACATTACCATTAGCCAATATTAAAACATTTCTATTACGAGATTTCATACAAAATGTTTGGTTCTCATGATAAAGGTAAGAACAACAACACAGGAATCTTTCTGCTTGGGCCGTGCTCCAGTGTCCCACCGCCTCCACTGGTAAAAACAAAAACTCTCCTCCTTAGGCAACTCTGGTTCACAGGACTGGGAGCCATCAGTGTATTAAAAGTAAAACAGCATTAAAAGCATAATTTGGGGGATAAAAAGACCTGAACTTTAATCTCAATGCCATGATCTACTCTGCTGCTCTAAGGAAAGTCAATTAGACACTCTGGGTCTGTTTTCTGTTTTTCAAGTCAACCTACTGAGGACAGTGTTATTATTGCAAGGTCACTGTGAGGATGAAACAAGATAAGCACCACATAACAGGGCATCAGGCTAGTTATCTCAAAACAGATGTTCTCTTCTGAATTTTTAATCACAAGCATGTTTTTGCTTTACACTAAAACATAATCATATGACTTCATGTTTTTAAACAACTAAAAGCAATTTTCCTGGTTGAAAGACAAAAAGATGAAACACAAGCTCAAATAAATACCCTCTGAAACTCACAGTAAAACCTTAAATTCTAAGTTCAAGAACAGACTTGTTGGGCTAGAGATGCAGCTCAATAGTAGAGCACTTGGCAATACAGTCTTCCTTTTAAGAGACATTTAAACAAATGCACTTTAAACCTGGAGTATTTCCAGGACACAATTCTCCAATTTCTAGTAGCTTAGATATTAAATTTACATTTTCCCCAACACTGCTATATATTTATGACTCAACAAAGTTGTTGTTTATAGTCTCAAAGTTCTACGCAACAAATTAACTCAAAAAAAAAAAAAAAAACTGAGCATACAAGAGTGATGAGCACAAAATCAAGTGAATCACTCCTCACGCTTACTTCTCTCAGAGATTTCTGATGGAGACCACCAGGCATGTACAGGCCAAAGAGTTAGAGGTTAGAAGAAGGAAGGTTCTAGTGGTGTGGACTTGGCATGTGCATCCTGATTGGGAAGTGAGGTAGAAGTTGGTAGACTGTCCCGGCTTTGGCAAGAGTAACATCAGTTACTGGTTCTGAGCTTAATCACAAAGTGGAGTAGACTGTTAACAAATGCTGAAAATCATTTAACAAAATACAATCAGAAGTAAAGAACTACTTGAGAAATATAACTTGGTTAAACGCATACGAATTTTTGAGGTGACTGTATTACCCTTACTTTAGATTAGAAGAGAATCGTATGTACAGGGCGGAGCCTGGACCTTAGGAGGAGGACAGAAGACAAGTTTGAAGGCAGCATGGGCTATCCAGAAACCAATCCAGAAGACTGACATCAGCTCCGTTACCAGACTCACATCAAAAGTGTGGGACTATCGGCTTAATTCCCCAATAGGGCAAAAAAACGGTAACAACAAACTATCAAGGGTATCATATCTTTTTTTTTTTTTTTTTTTTTTTTTTTTTTTTTTTTTTTTTTTTTTTAATTTGCTTGTTCTGGGATTTTTTTTTTTTTTTCTTTTTTTTTAATTTTTTATTAATTACACTTTATTCATTTTATATCCCCCCCATAAGCCCCTCCCTCCTCCCTTGCCGATCCCACCCTTCCTCCCCTTTCTGCATGCATGCCCCTCCCCAAGTCCACTGATAGGGGAGGTTCTCCTCTTCTTTCTGATCTTAGTCTATCAGTTCTCATCAAAAGTGGCTGCATTGTCCTCTACTGTGGCCTGCAGAAGCATTATTTCTAAAAGCTAGATAGTAAATATTTTCAGCTTTCTGAGTAGTAATATCTGGGTTTTTTTTTTTTTTAACTTTTCAATTGTTGGGTATCATATCTTTAAGAAATAATTAATGACTTATACTTACTAACTGCGACAGTAGTGGTGGAAGCGAGTGATACAAATTGAAGAAAAGATCCAATGTTTCTGGGTCCAGGAAAACTGGAAAAAAAGATTATTTTCCTAACACCATTACTTTCACTAAAACATCACACAAATAAGAATGTCAAGACCTCTGCATATGACCAATCATTGCAGCTGGGCTAGTCATTCATTCATTTAATCTTGGCTTTTCAAGGCACGGTTTCTTTGTGTAGCCCTGGCTGTCCTAGAACTTGCTTTATAAACCAGACTGGCCTAGAATTCAGAGATTTCCCTGCCTCTGGCTCCTAAGTGCTGTTTTTAAAGGCGTGTGCCACCACAACCTACTTGCAGCTGGGCTACATCGATTCGTAAGTTTTTTTCCCTTGATAAATGAGAGAGTATGGACATAAAAAATAGCTAGCTAAAATGGTATTAGTTCCATGCAGTTACCTACATTTCTAAGTAGAATAAAGTTAGTTTATATTCACACTAAAATAATATAAAAATTGTTTTAAAAGTATGAGGATAAGTATCACTAGAAAGCTTATAAAAAGCAGTTATGTCCTGTCCCATTCTTACTTTCACATTTAAAAATAACTGTACAAATTCATTTGATGTCACCTGAACCCTCACCGTAACTGTATTGTTTTACTTCTCTAACTTACCCTGAAACCCCCAGCTCCAACACTCTCTGAAATCAGCTATCCTTTCTCCTCCCACTACCGTCACAACTCATGATATAATCAACTGTAAAGTATTTACATGTATAACCATGCAAAGAATGTTAACAGCTGAGCCAAAGACTATATTATCATCTCACACAATGATCTCTGTACTTAAGGTAAGCATAGTGGCTTAGTTGTATATCTATCTATCACTAATTTTTCCCAAATGTTTTGACAAACTCACAAAAAAAATTTTTTTAATTCTTCCTAACATTTCTGCATAACCAATCCAGTATCATTTCCATTTTGCTATACCTATCACTCATTTTTCAACTTCAACTGGCTGATTCTTAACTTTGTCACATATCTGTGTCTGTTTTACATCTATTTATTGTCATCTTGTTTGAAGGGTTCTTTCCCAAAACCCCCTTCTATTTTGGTTTGTATGTCAAATACTTTGCTGAAAGCAAATACATGAGGAATAAATTTGGAAGGACTTGCGTGTCTGAAAAAGTATCTTACTTTTCATAATTCCCATTCAATTTGAAAACCTGCAGAGGCAGGTCTGAGGCCTACTGTGAGTCACTGCTGCTATTGAGAAGTCTGTTGCCACTCTAGTTTCCAAATATTGCAAGGGACTTAGTTCTTCCTCATGCACAAGCCTTTTCCTGGGACAGTATCAGTACAAAGCTAGTGCTTATCTTTTTTCACTCATTATTCTGGTCACCTGGTCCAACTTTCAATTCATAAATTTGTTCTTCAATGCTGAGACCATTTTGGATTTTCAATTTTCCTTGTTTTCTCTTTTTTTTTAATATTTATTTATTAATTATTTATACAGTGTTCTTCCTCCATGTGTGCCTGTACACCAGAAGAGGGCACCAGATATCACTACAGATGGTTTTGAGCCACCACCATGTGGTTGCTGGGAACTGAACTCAGGACCTTTAGAAGAACAGTCAGTGCTCTTAGCCTCTGAGCCACCTCTCCAGCCTCCCTATTTTCTCTTTCTAGAACCTTCAATAATCAAATGTCAGCCTCCTTGCTTCACCTTCTAATTTTCTCATGTACTTTTTCTCCTATCAAATATCTTGCTTTTTTTATTCTTTGTATATTTTATTAACTTCCTCTTCCAAGATGTTTACTAAATTGTTAAATTATTTGGCAAATGTTCCATTCTTGTCTCAGAAATGCTTTATCTTTTTTTAATCTCTAGCAATATTAATCACACCCTTTTCAAGTTTATTTCTATTCTTCACCTTTTATACTAATTCTGCAACTTTTTAAAAAGTTAAACTTTCTAAGATAATAAATTACAGATTCGGAAAATGTAATACAGACCTACACCACATTTTACACAGCTGACCTACACTATGTTTTACCCACTTTCCCACACTGGTGATCTCTTATAAAAATAACACTAAAATATCACAGCCAGGAAGCCCAGCACAATCTCCCAAACATACTGATTCCAATTTTATATGCATTCAGGTGTGCATACATATTTTTAGCCTGTGCATTTTTATTACATGTGTTGGTGTAGGAATTCATCACCACAGCCAAGATGTGGAATGCTGAATACCTTGTTTATTAATTTTTGATTCCTAAATCAGAAGTCATTAAAAGAAACCTTTATGTTAGTTCTCTACCTGATATCCCCAAATCTGAAGCTTTTCTAGTTTAATTTTTCAAGGGAAAAAGCTGTGGGAAGAGAAGACCAACTACAGGGCCAAAGGAGTCAGTCAGTCTCCCAGCTGCACAAGCCAAGATCCAACTTAGAATAAAATCCTTAGCACTCACTCTCCAGCCCCTCCCCGACCTCTGCCCTGGGGCACCCGAGTGACATTTTTCTGCAGTGTTGGGGAAACATTTGGTTTCCTTCTTGATGTCCCTACTATCACAAAGTAAATCAGGACTCTGTTCAGCCAGACAACTCCCTCTGACTAGTTCACCTCACAATTCTGAAAAAAACCCTCTGGGTGACTGTTCCATCTTTCCTCACTACTTATGCGGACAGCTCATGTGCTGTCTTGTCTTCTTCTCCTGGAATCAAAATGTAGCAGTCATTATGATATGAACAAGACAGAGCACTTCAACACTAAGTATTAGTAGCTATTCTGAATTAGACCACTGAGAAAAAGCTACGGTATATGTATAGGTTAATTCTGCACCTTGTATGTTGACCATCTCTCATGTTAAACCCTTCTTTCTTTCTTCTTACTTGTTCTCCAGGTTGTTGGAACCTGCACTGTGCAAAGATCATCTGCGGATTCGTCTGCTGAACTGCCAAGAAAGTCAAAGCTCAGGCAGCTAAGGACCAGCTTTAAAACCTGCATCACCAGACTTTGTTGATTTTGATCCTGGAGATTTAAAGGTTTGGCCAACACCTTCAAAGTTAGAAATAAAACATAAAAGACATTTTAACGTCATAAACTTAATTATTTCTTCAATGTGAAATGAAAATTAGTAAAAAAATTTTAAAATGGGGAAAATGGTAAAAATCTTTGCCCACAAATTTCTACAACAGACTACTTTCAAATTTCACCCTGTAAAATGAGAATAAAATATATTTAACTACATAATGCAGATCACCTTCAAAAGTTCTAAAACACAAGTTGGGTCAGGTGAAGTGGCACATACCTTTAATCCCAGTACTTGGTAGGCAGAGACAGGCAGGACTCTGAGTTCAAGGCTAGCTTGGTCTACATGGTGAGTTCAGGCCAGCCAGGGATACATAGTAATACCCTGTCTCCAAAAATAAAAAATTTTAGTGAGTTTTAGAATAAATACTTTACATAGCACAAGTGTACAAAAGCACAGAATGTACTAACTTAAAGAGTGCTTTGAAAGCCAGGCAGTGGTGGCACCTGCCTCTGATTCCAGCACTCAGGAGGGAGAGGCAGGTGAATCTCTGAGTATGAAGTTAGCTTGGTCTACAGAGTGAGTTCTAGGACAGCCGGGCTACACAGAGAAACCCTGTCTTTAAAAACCAGAAAGAGAAACAGTGCTTTGAAAAACCTGAGACTTATTTTCTTCAAAAAATGTTGGCTAACTTCTGGTGTAAAGAGATGCATTCAACTAACAGAGGCCTTGTGAATGTGGTCAGGGCACAAGCTTCCGGAGCACAATGCTGACTGTCTTGTGCTACGGTTGGTTCCCACACAACCTGCAAGTAAGCACATCTTGGAGACTATGAATTATTTGAAGCCTACAATAATAAGAAGCCAAGAATAATGATCCTATTTAATATACCTTTAAAAATGATATTTTTCCACACTACAAAAGTATTTCAAAATAAGTCATTTAAGTAGACTTCCTACAGTGAATAACAATGTAACACACCAGGTAACAATATCAACCCAAGCAACTTAAAATTTGAAATGGCCTGCAACATCACCCAAGAGGGTTTTGATTTTGGTGAATTTCAAATTTTAGATTTTGAAATTTTTCAACTAGTAAAGTCTAAACAAATATCCTAAAATTTACAACACTCCAAAATCTAAAGCACTTCTGGTCCCCAGTATTTATAGAGGACACTTAGCCTGTAACAGAACTGGACAGGCAGGAAGCAAAGCTTGCTGAGTTGTTCTGGGAAATGCTTTACAACACCAAATAAACAAGCTTGAGTAGTATGACAGAATCCTTCCTAAGACAACTGAGCTGAACACAATAATGAAAGCCATGCTTGTCCCATGGCACTAAGAAACGAGTAGGAAATTCCTATTTCTCAAAGAAACTATTAAAATAATTCAGAGGAAATTACAAAAAATAAAAATAAAAAAGAAAGAAAAACTGTATCCCCATCTAAATATGGGCAGGCAGATAAACTAAAACTCAAATTAGCCTGTCCAACTAGAAATCAACAGTAAGAAGGTAGAAACTACTATGGCCTAAACACAAACATTGAATTCTCTATGGATGAAGTAAAGTTTGTATAGATTTACTGTATTTGGACTGGCCACAACAAATCTCTTAAAAGCAAAACCAGAAGCACTTAAGGCTCCCACACAACTCCAGGAGGCTGAGTCATCAACTGACTTACCTGTTTCAGGAGAGAGCAGGCTAACACAAGGATGTCCTTTAGAGAAGTATCACGAAATGAGGTAGCTATTTTCCTATGTTTTGCTGACGGTCTGGAATAATCAACCTAAAAAGGTCAAGATGAGTTAGTTTAAGCAAACCTATAAAAAATAAGGCAAACATATTCTACGAACGTAACATGATGGCACTAGTGATCAGGTGTCATGAATACAGGGCTTATAAAAGACTGAGAAGGGATTTGCTTGTGATTACTTAGTGACAGAGACAGGGTTAGATCCCACTCCAAAACTACCAGTGCCAATATAGAACACAGATAATCAAAGTAACAGACATGACTGAGATCATGGACTCCTGCCTATATCATATATAATATAAATAAACTTCCCTAACTCTCAAATGCCACCTACCTACAAAAGGAGAAACCTCTAAAATGCTCTTCAAATTCTGATATGTGAATCAGCTAAATAATCAGTTATAAAAAAAATTATATTAAAGTAGTTAATGTAACTGGTTTATGTCACTAAAATTCTGAAAATAAAAGTAGAAATAACACTCAAGAATTTGATTGTGTTTTAACAACATGTCATCTCTAAATATTTTATTAGCTAACAGAATTTTTTTTTTTCAGAGCAGAATCTCACTATGTAGCCCTGGCTGTCCTGCAACTAGCTCTGTAGACCAGGCTGGCCTCGAACTCAGAGAGCCGCCTGCTTCTGCCTCCTGAGTGCTGGGATTAAAGGAGTGCACCCTGTCCAAATATGGATGAATCTTTTAAGAAAAAGATCTAAGCTTGAGTTTTCTAAAAGTTCAGAGGATTTTAAAGATTATCCTACATTTTGAGAACCCGAATATGCTAGTCCTTGAATATATTTGTTATATAGTCATCAAAGCAAAATACATATACCTATACAGTATGTGCACTATGAAATGCTGTTGAGTTCAAGGCCAGTCTGCTCTATCTGTGGAGTGAGTTCCAGGCCAGCCAGGCCTACCACATTGTGAAACCCTGACTAAAAAAAAAGAAAAAGATGCAACCACAGTGAATGACTTTATAGTATACTTCTGACCATTATATAACACTGGACCTTGCTCATGTAAATCTGATCACACACACCCCCCAAAAAAAAGCTAGTTGAAGCAGAAATCACTCCTCCCCCAACTAATTAAGCTCAGTAAAATTTGTTCCACAGAAGATGTAATTTTTTCAACTTATAAAGCCAAAAATCATCTTTTAAAGCTTTGAAGGAGTTAGTACTGTTTTAGAGATAGAACAGCCTCATTGTGCAGCCCAGTGTACCCTCAAATTCATAATCCTTCTGCCTCAGCCTCCCTACTCTATCATCATAGGCATGGCACTCTTCTAAAAAGGAGGTTGTCTTTATTTTACATGGACAACCTGGAACATCTTGTACCAGGGGAACAAAAGAGGACAGGTAGAGAGAAAGATGCCTACAATCCCAGGACTTCGGAGGGGAGGCAAGAGAATCAAGAGTTTAAGGTCACTCCCTGCTACATCTCAAAGATACAGCCAGCCAGGGCTACATAAAACCCTTTCTCAAAAAAAGAAAGAAAAAAAAAATCAAAGAATGGTGAGGGAATGTTAAATAAATGCAAACCAACTTGAAAGATTTCTTACTGGTGAATTACAAGCTATTAAATAAAATTAGAAAACTACAGTAAAAACCTAAGCTTGGTAAGAAATAGGGTATTTCCAAAGGTGTAAAGTACTTCTCCACAAAATATTTATTAATATTTATTAAAGAAAATAAGGAAGCTGGGTAAAGAACATGCTTAAATCCAGGTGAGCCCGAGCAGTCGTAATGCTGCGGGAAGCCTAAAACCCTAAGTCAAACATGGAGGAGTCCTATTCTGTCTGGCGCTGCCTTGTGCACAGCAGCGTGCTCCTTGGGAATGGAGCGTTTCTGCACCACTTGGGAGTTACTGGAGACAAAGCAGCGCTATCAGGAACAACTGGGGCAGGTGGTCACGTACTTCCTGAGGATCCTGAAAGCCAAGGGGACAATAAAACCACCAGAGTGCCAGACCCTCTTTGGGACCTGGGAGCTCATCTGTGCCACCAGCCTAGAGAGGTGTCTCTTCTTGGAAGGACACTGGAGGCTGGGGCTACAGGGCTTCTGCCCACACTGTAGTTCTACGCTCAATCTGCTGCCAATGCAGACAGGTATCAGACTACACTCCAGGAGCAATTCAAGAACAAATGTTTTCAGAGGTTCGTGCAGCTGAAGCAAAGCGGCCCTAAATTTAAGCATCTTCAGCTCCAGGACCTACTCCATCTGCCTCTGCAGTGGCTTCAGCAGTACAAGAATCTTATCACTGGCTTTGGCTAAAAATACAGTTCCCAACAGGCCCAACTACCAACAGCTTACACCGTCTGCCTGCCCCATCAGCGAGACTGCCAGAATCAGAATGACCAGCACCTTCCGCACAGCCAGGCTCTACTCAATGGACTCAAGGCGAAAGGGCCTGCTTCAGAGCCCTGTATCCTATGTCCCAGTGTCAACTTAGTAGGATCTTTGGCCATTCAGGACCCTTGTGGTTTGCTCAGTCTGTCCTTCCCCCCATGAGAAGCTACTGCTTATGAGGAGCTGTCACAGTGGCACCACAGCCTGACTGGCTGTTAGAAGCCAGAAGAACTCCACTCGCAGAAGTGTCACTGCTACACGACATTGTCATCTACAGACGTGCTGGGCCACATTCACAACTCTCTTGGGATCCATGTGGCAGCTGGGCATGCCTATGAAGAATCTTAGACATTCCAGAACTCAGGATACTCACACAAAGGTCAGAGCCAAGAACAAAAGGGAATCTACTTCAGCACTGGGACCACAAAGCCTTCCATGGGTTGACACAGGCCATTTAATGCTCCTTGAGAATCAGGAAGCAGGCTTCAACCCAAATGAGCCTCAGCTGAAGCAGCCCCTTTAAAACCATGCCACTGGGGGCCTCGGGACTGTAAAGCGCTTGCCTTCTATGGCCAGCTGTTTATTCAATTTGCAACTTTGTAAAGGAAGCCATTTTTTGTTACCTATGGTTGTTTTTATTTTTGAGATGGGGTCTTCCTATGTGACCCAGGCTGACAGTGAGCCTCAATTCCTCCTGCCTCAGCCTTGAAAGTGTTGGTTTTTAAAGGTGTGTGCTGCCATGCTGCCACACCAGGCTACTGTATTCAGTTTCTTTCTTTTCTTCTTGAGACAAGGTTTCATGTAGCACAGCCTGGCCTTGAATTCTGGATCCTTCTCAACTACCTCCTATGTCGTAAAAGTTCTATAATTTATTTCTCCACTGGGTTTTAATAAAGTACTGTTTTGTTTTGCTTTTGAAAAAAAAAAAAAAAAGAAGAAGAAGAAATCCAAGTGAATATCATCTATTATTAGACAACTCAAACCATATGCTTCCTGGCAGGAGACAATAGGCTATATAGCATCATTGCTGATATTCCTGATAAATAAATGTAATCTGGATTTAATAACGAGGAAACACTGAACAGTCTCAAAATAATACATGTTTTACAAAACAACTAGCTTGTTATCTTTATGGCTCAGGTGTTATGTCAACCTGACACAAACTAGAGTTATCTGAAAGGAGGTAACCTTAACTGAGAAAAATGCCTCTGTAAGATCTGGCTTTAAGGCATTTTCTGAATTAGTGATGGATGGAGGTGATGCCACTGATGAGGGTAGTCACCCATTGTGGGTGGTGCCATCCCTGGACTAGTAGTCCAGGGTTCTATAAGAAAGTAGGCTGAGCAAGCGACTGGGAAGCAAGCCAATAAGCAGTATTTCTCTGGGCATCAGCCCTTGCCTCTAGGACCAACCCCTATCCCTGCTTGGGTTCCTGCCCTCACCATATTTGATAATGAACTGATACATGGAACTGAGTGAACTAAAAACCCATTCTTGCTTTTGGCCAAGTTGCTTTTGGCCATGTCACATTTAAAATAATCTAATGGCATCATGATCATGTAGGAGAAAGAATGTCCTTGTAGAAGAAAATGTAAAATTATTAGGCAATGGGAATGTGGGGGGAGTGTATCACGATGTCAACTTATCAAGAGATCAAGAAAGATCTTTACCCTACCCTCCAAACATTGCTGAAAGTTCATTTGCATCTTTTAAAAGATAGTTGGTTGCTCTCCAAGATACACTTTTTTAACTTTTAAAAAAGAGCTCAGAGTTCTTTAAACTCATTCACAGAGTTCAATTATAATTAGTCAAGGTCCTATCATCATACTCCTGCCAACAAGACGGCTACTCCTGAAACAGAGAAAAACTGACATAGCAAACAGTCTTCACATCCTCTTGTGAGAGAAGCAAAAATGAACAGCTGTGAAAACTATGGTTATTTTAAAATGTGGAAATTCTATAAAATTGGTTTTAATTCATCACTGAACAGTAATCAAACTTTTTTTCCAATTGTAAAACACTGTGACTATACTACAAAGGGAGTTCGCAAGCGGACAGCAGCTCTCCTTATGTACACACTCACAGTCCACACAACCAAGCACCACCCAGGAGGATGTCAGTTTCTCAGTTCAAACTTTATAATCTCCTTTATGAAATCACCCCACACAGGGTGCTCCTTTACTCTTATTGAAAAGGGACAGCAAAAGGGAACAAGACAGAAGACAACTCCTCAACTGCTGAGCTCAAAGAGCCCTGCTGGGGAAGGGACAGTTTCTGAAAATGCTCCTCATGGGAGGTGAAAATTCAAACCAGAAAGTGACTACGTGCCAAGCAATCTATTTCTGGATAGGTCCTCCCATTCACCCATGGCTAAGAATCAGTCTTCTAACCTGTTTGCCCTTTATTTATAAACACATAAAAGTTTGTTTTTCTTTTCTATACAATTCATTTATATGGTTAATATATTATAATATCTACAAGAATGAAAAGACAATTCTCCAAATGGAACAAGCACTATGTCCTGTTTCTCACTACTTTTATTCTGTGGTTTTTACTATGGTTATGCTTTTCGATTAAAGTATTCTAATTTAATTTTCCAACTAGTAAAACAAATACATACAAAGACTTGATCAGAAAAGTTTCATGCATTTTGCCACAAAGAAATAACATTACCTAAGCAAATTCCATGTCTTACTACATGCAAAAGCTTACTTACCAGGTTCATTTCCTGAGTCAACTCGGAAAGGATTATCACTCCTATTATGCAGTGTTCCACAGTACCCTTTCAGAAAATAGCCAAGTGGAGACAGGATTAATTCTTAAGTGTAAACCAAGTGATAATTTTCAAAATTAAATACCAAAGCATCACAATTGCCAACTAATGGTCCATAAGAGTATGTTTTAAAGAAAAGGTATTGTTATTTCTATAACTAAAAGAATTTGCACTAATTTTTGAAGGATAAATTTTGGCACATGGAGTTAAGAAACAAATGTATACAGACCTTAGAAATGCATATACTCTAGCCAATGTTTCCCTAGCATTTACAAGTCATAATAAACTAGGCTTTAAAATGACACTTAATTTAGTACTTTTTCTACAATCTTAAAAATGTAAAAAAATGGTTTTTGTTCTAGAAATTTGCTTGAAGCCTACTGTGATAGCTGCACTCAATAATTAATAAGTAGCTTAGAAACTAATTTAAATCTCTTGATCTAATATCAGAAAAGATCACTTAGGCTCTTTTAATATTACTGAACAGTGCACGTGTATAGAGTCATTAGGTACCTTAATGAAGACATCTAGAGGACCCAATGTAGTACGGTAAATATATGACTATCAACACAGTATAGTTTCCATGATGTTTCTAATTAGCTTACAATTTAATTGTAAAACTTCCTTCAATTCAGATCTCGTGTGCACATTAGTAACAAATTACCCTATTACAAAATCATACTGGAAAACATGGAAGTAAGAAATGAAGCATCAAATTAGAGTGCAGCAGTACAAAAGTATGCACAGATGTGCTTTTTGTATCTTCATTTCACAGTTGGTCATCCCTTCTAACTTGCACAGAAGCTCAGCAACACTGATTACAAGGTATAATTAAGTTCATGTTATCTCAGAACCACCAATGATCAACTCTGGGTACATCAAACAATGCATTTTAATTCTTTATGGACTTGCTAATTTCCTATTCACTGAATCATAGCTACTCTGTGTACCCTAGCTCAATAAAGCTGCACAGTGTGGCGCTCTAACCAACTGAGAGTCTGAAAACTTTCCTAACTTTCTTTATTTTCTTTTTTTGTTTAAACACCTGGGCTTACAGGGTCTTGTGCTGCTGTGTCCAGCTTTTACATGGGTTCTGGGGGCTCAAACTGATCATCAGATTTGGCACAGCAAGCACTTCTTCTACCCACCAAACTATTTCTCCAGAACAAGAACTCTTAAACTTGACAGCAAGTTAACCACTTTGCAATTAGAAATTACACAAATATAAAAATAAGTATCACTAAATACCTAAGTTGTTTTAAGAAAGCAGCGAAAAGCAAATTGGAAGCATGGACAGAGTCCTGATTCCTTCACTGTATCAACAGCTGTAACTACTACAAGGGACGGGAAGAGGAACCATCCATGCAAGTGTCTGTTCCTTCTTTCTTGCAGCCTTAGTATGTTAACTGGGGTAAATGGGGACAAAATGTTACAATTTATCTCAGATATTACTTATAGTTACATCATTTATTGAGTCACTTGAAAACATTTGTCAGAAAAATTTTATAGTCTACATAGAGTGGGAAAAAAAGCTGTCAAAAGACTTGCTGGACTACCAATTATGCTTTGCTAAGTCACTATGTACTTGTGGAAGCTACTCAACATAAATCGCAGTTTCTTGAAACCCACTTCCTAGGACTGTTAGGAGGTTGAGTAACTATGAAAATCATTATAAATATTGCTTGTATATGTATATATGTGTGTGTGTGCATACATGTATATAGGTCATCAATAGAAGTACATTTCTAAATTTAGAAACAACGGTTCTTTTCATTCTTCTGGTATAACATGATTTTTATTAATTGACAATAAATAACAAAAAATCCAAAGGACAAATAATAAATGATAAGTAAGAATGGTACTACAAAGAGAACCAAGTAGCTCTAACATGGCACTAACCAATGCCTTCTTACCTGGAGGAATTTCTTCACATCAGCAGTAATTTCTCTGAAAACAAACTCATCTTTCTGAACGTCAAACCACCCCAACTTAGTGAGTTTAGCAATGACTTGAATAAGAGCTTGAATGACAAAGGGAGCCAGCTTAGGTTGTGATGCCACATAATTCAGAATGTAGTTTCCTATGAAGAGAGCATCAGTGAGCACTTGGATTTCTGAGAAACGTAATGTGAATCTCATGAAGGAAAGACGGGGACAATGACACGCTCTTTGAGAAGTGAGTTGATCTGTGTTCAAAACATGTACTTATTACACAGTAAATTCTGTAACACTTATTGCAAAATGTGAGCTTATCCCACTATATTTTGATAAATCTTGGGGTAATTTAAGTAGAATATGAAAACCATTTTTTATTTGTAGATGTCACATGCAAAAACCTCATAGGTAAATGCAGAAAACTGCAAGCAAATGATCCAAGCTATTAAAGTGCACAGAACTAATAAGAGTAGCACAATGTAACATCGCACAGGAATGCATCTGCCTCAGCTGTCCACGACCCACCGTATTGCATGGTTATGTGTGCACTACATTACCTGTGTTATCCATCTCGCCACCCTTATCTGGAACCATAATTTTCCATCCTCTCTTCACAGTACCTCACCAACTGCAACTTTAACGATTCTTACAAACTTCACACCTTTTCAAGACGAAAGTGCCACATCTGCTATAATGTACAGATGTTTCTAAATCACTTTATCTGTGCAATTCTACCAAAAATGTCTTAGAATTCTACCCTTGTTTCCATAATCTCCTTCCTCTCGTAAGGCCTGTGCAGCATTGTATAGCAAGTCACTTTTAGGAATACATATATCAGATTACAATAACTAAATAAATAAATGCTTACTGTGAGGCTAAAAGACTATAACCATTATTAAAAACCTGATCTTAGTTAAATGACACAAAGATGCGCAGCATAAAGTATTGATAATTTGGCACACACAGTATTTCTTTACGCATGAAAAGTAAAGCAATGCTTATAAAAAGTTAGCATGGCAAAATCACTTGCAAGCTACCCAACTAAAAATGCTTCAGTGGAAACAACCCCAAACCCAAGAACACCTTAAGAAATGAGTGACCATCTTAGGACAGATTTACTGTGTATAAAAACGCAAGAACAAGAAGTACTGAAGCCAGAGAAATGGCTCTGGAGTAAAGCGCTTGCACACATGCACATGCAGAAGGAAAAGGAAAGGGTTAAAGATGAAGGTGGGGACAGTCAGAACCTTATATGCTGGTAAGAGCAGTGCCACTTGGGAAAACAGGGAACTTCTTAAAGGTTTGCACCAACTTGTAACTCAGCATTATAACTTCATTCCAAGGGTTCCACATGGAAAAACAGGGGAAACTGAACCATGAAAACACTCACATGTAAATGTTCCAAGTATAAGTTTGTAGTGACAAAGAAGTGAAACACAAACGGCCAACAAGCTCATCAACTACTAGTAAACAGATGTTTTAAAAAGCCCTATAAGGCTCAGGGGTCTTTTCTGAGACTGATAAGCCAACCAAGGACCATGCATGGAGATAACCTAGAACCCTAAAACCCCTGCACAGATGTAACCCATGGCAGCTCAGTCTCCAAGTGAATTCCATAGTAATGGGAACAGGAACTGTCTCTGACATGAACTCAGTAGCTGGCTCTTTGATCACCTCCCCCTGTGGGAGAAGCAGCCTTATGAGGCCACAGAGGAGCCAGTCCTGATGAGACCTGATATGCTAGGGTCAAATGGAAGGGAAAGAGGACCTCCCCTATCAGTGGACCTGTAGAGGGGCATGGGAGGAGATGAGGAAGGGAGGGTGGGATTAGGAGGGAATGAGAGAGAGGACTACAGCTGGGATAAAAAGTGAATAAACTGTAATTTATTTTAATTTTTTTTAAAAATAAAAAAATAAAAAGTCCTTCAAATTGTAAAAAAATAAAAAATAAAAATAAAAGGCCCTATAAGAAAAAAAGGAATGACATACTGATGCAACACCATTTTGCTTAAGGAAAGGTAGCATGTACATATAAAAAAAAAAAAAAACTACATATACTATGATCTCTTTTCTATGAAACATCTACAAAAAAATCAATCTAGATGCAGAGGGCACACCAGAAGACTGTGACAGAGACAGCCTCTATCTGATATTTCTGGGGTGATGAAAATGTTCTAGAACCAAATTGTGAGAATGGTCATACAACCATGAATTTACTAAAACTAAAGCTTTTTTTTAAAGGCCTGTAACTGGTTATGCAATACTGACCTTTTTGAAAGCGTTTACCTGTATATTTTGATGTAGTGTGTACTACGCTTCGATAAGCTGAAAAGAAGAATGGAAGGAAGGGCCTGACTTACAAAAGCAAGCAAGCCTAAACTACACAGCTGTCTGAAGATGAAAAGGAGAGCATGCTGGTCTAAGGAAACCAGTTAAGAACATGCACTGAGGCAGATATAAGTTGACATGAGAGGAAGATCTTCTGACACAAGACACTGGATAACACTGATGAAGATATAAGGTCACCTGAACAAGGATGGCTCATCAATGACAAGCTCGCAGAAGTTCTTTAGTACTAAGCTAGGAAAATGGTATCTGACTGAAAATCAATACAAGGCCACTGTTAGCTATACTTGTAATATAGAAAATAGTGGGGTGAGCCCAGAATTTGGCAATGGTGGAAATTGAGGAAAACAATGAGGTTCCTAGAAGTGCATCATCTAAGAATGAGAATTTATATTAACCTGAAAAGGCAATGTGGCTGGTCAGGCCATTCTACACATTTTTCATTTTAACACACATGTCTGTTATTACACATGTCCATTAGACATATATCATGACAAAAATTCTGATCTACTGACAGAAACAAGAGTTCTTTACTCAAACTAAAGAATCTAAAAAGAAAACTTGCCTCTGACTACAACCCCTGTCCCCAGCCAGGAGCAGTGAGTGATGCATGCCTGTAATCCCAGCTCTTAGGAGGCAAGAGCCAGGCGATCTCTGTGAGTTCAAGGACAGACTGGTCTACAAAGCAAGTCTAGGACAACCAAGGCTACACAGAGAAACCCAGTCCTGAAAACAAAACAACCCCTGTCTCCAAATTATCTTAATATACAAACCAAAAACATTACAAGAACACAAAGCTAGAAACCAACTATCTTTCTTGAACACAGTTATAAAAATTCTCAACATTTCAGGAGGTTGAAGTCAATGTATAAAGAACTAAAGAGCAGGACAGATAGGATTTATCTTAGATATGAAAAGCTGGCTCAACATATAAAATCATCCACAGCCTACATAATGAAAACCACATGATAATATCAACAGATGTAAGAAAAGCATTTTACAAATATAACACCCATTTATGATAAAAACCTAAGAATAAAAAGGAGCTTTCTCAACTTTATCTAGAATACTACTAGAAAACAACAACTACAAATGATATCACATTTAACAAGGAGAAATTTTAAAAAGCTTCCCATCAAGTTGAAGAACAAAGCAAAAGTACCCTCTCCATGACTTCAGGTTTCATTTATTTCATGTGCCCCTTCTTCTCCAAACCCCCAAAACAGAGCCTTGCTGTATAGCATTAACTCAGAAATTAGCCAAGGCTGGTCTCAATTGCGGGAGCCTCCTATCTCAGACTCCCATGTGCCACCATGTACACCTGCTTATGTCTAGAACAACTTTACTCATAATTTTTTCAAAATTTGGAAGCAATCAAAACATCCTTCACTTAGGTACATTCAGACAATGAAAAATATTATTCATAACTAAAGAGAAATGAGATTATTGAGTCAAGTCATAAAAAGACATGGCTGATTATAAATGAAAGAAGGGAATCTGAGAAAGCTACATACTCTGTTTCTCACTATCTGCTCTTCTAGAAAGGAAAACAGTGGAGGCTGTTCAGAGATCGGGGTTGCAGTAAGGAGAAAAGCAGCAGGGCACAGGATGTGCAGGCTAGCGAAGCTACTTCATACACTACTCTAATAGCAGACACATGCACTGTACCTTGTCCAAACCTAGAGAATATACTCTATTGATGTTGATAGCAGGGGAAAGCTATCCATGAATGGAGGCAGGGACTATAAGAGAACTCTATAGTTTCTGTTCAGTTTTTGCTAAGAACCTAAAAGTTCTCTTAAAAAAAAAAAAAAAAGAATTAAGTCTATTTAAGATATGTCCTGTGTCATGACACTGTTAGAACCACTTTTTAAAATGCAAATCTATCTCTTTTGCTGTCTTAAGTATAGAACTTTCTGCAGACTGAAGGCTGGCAGGAACAATCAGAAAATGAGGTATACTGCATCACTGGATGATTCTGACCACTGAATTTTGATCTTAAAGATTAAAAAACATCAGATATTTTCATTTTTCTAATAAAAAATATAAACTATATTAACTTTGAGTCTGAAGAACAAAAATAACACAATAATCTGTTTCTATTACAAAGAAAAAGTAATCACATATCCTAATTATTAAGTTTGTCATATAAAATGCAAGCTGACATATATATAAAATTGTAAAGTATATTAATCTCAAAACATATATGACTACTCTGACAGTATCAATGTTTTTACTAAAAGTAGTAATCAGCTGTGGGTTTTAAGTGTATCCACACTGATTATGATGTACCAATCTGAGCAACATTGCAGAGCTGGTTTCTTTCTGTGCATTCAGTTACCTATCAATTAAAAGCATTAACTTATGCAGATTTAGCATATTTAAATGACAACTCTATTTCCAGGTTGTGTGATCCTGAGCAAGTCACAGCTCACCATATCAAATTTACTCATTCGTAAAATGAGAATAATTCAGTAATTTATTTGGAGCATAAAATATAATAGTGAAAATCTTAACAAATACCACATATCCAAAATTTATTATTAACAAAATTTTATAATTACATATTGCCTTATCTATTACATCACTGCATGAAAGACTTAACTACCTACCTTAAAAAATAATAAAACTAAATAACAAGCCCAATGAAAGCTCAGCAAACTTAAAAGTATATTTTAGTTTTAAAATACAATTTGTTTAAAAAGAATTAATGAATCACTTACTGATGTCTATCCTCTGCTCAACAGGTAAAGGATTGATTCGGGTAACAAGTTTTGAAAGACATGTTGCTGCAAGGAGCTGAGCATAGGATGTCTGTAAAGAACAGTAATTGTTATTATTATCACAAAAAAAAAAACTATTATAAGAAATTTTTCTAAGCAAAACCAGTATTTTTTTCTAGTTCTCCAAAGTAGATTTATAATGAATAAAATACATACCTGAAATACGCCTATGCAAGAAGAAGAAGAAGAAGAAGAGATGCACTAGACACACAAATGCATACAATCTCTCATAAAAAATTATCATAAAATAATTACTAGATTATTGAAGGAAGTGTATATAACTATCTCAACAGGAGCATGTAAATGGGAAAAATAAATGTGTGTGAACAAGTTCAACTAAAACACTCAACATGGCCTAGCAGTTCTGCTCGATGTGCTCGCTCACTCTTCCACCACATACTGGGGCTCCATTCTTCAGAAGGCTGTGGCCACAAGACTTATGCAATGCCTTTCCCACCACGAGTTCTGTGTTCCTTCAGATTTATGTCTGACAGTACTCCGTGGCCATCAATTTTCATTTTTCCTTAAAGATTTGTGTTTTTAACTTGTGTTTATGCACGTGTGCTCACACGAGCTTGCGTGCACCACAGGTGTGCAGCTGTTCCCTGAGGCCTGAGGATGTCAGATTGTGGGAATGGAGCAGAAGCAGTGGTGAAGCAGTGGTGTGATGCTTTCCTCAAGTGCTCCTAACCACTGACCCATCTCTCCAGCTTCACTACCAGTTTTCTCAACAGTGTGCTCAACCTCTATAAGCCCATGTTCATCTTGCAAAATTCAGTTCATATACTCATTCCACTCCCATACATTTCTTGCCAAAATGGTATTTTTTTCCTCTAGACTACAAGCTGGCAAAAAAAAAGAGAGAGAGAGAGAGAGAGAGAAAGAAAAGAAAGAGAAAGAAAACCCATGAACCAAATTCTATTTTTGCATATCCTGAGCCAAAAATGGCTTTCATGGTTTTAAACAGCTGAAAATGATTTTTTACAAAAAACAATTATTTTGTAACATGTAAAAACATTTGATACAATCTGAGCTTCAGTGTGATAAAGCATTTTGTTTTTGTTTTTTGAGACTGGGTTTCTCTGTGTAGCCCTGACTATCCTTGAACTCACTTTGTAGACCAAGGTGGCCTTGAACTCACACAGATCTGCCTGCCTTTGCCTTGCAAGTGCTGGGATTAAAGGCATACACCACCGTGCCCACCTAAAAAACTTTTTGTTTGTCTTTTCTTTTTTCGGTTTTTCAAGGCAGGTCTCACTGTGTATACCTGGCTGGAGTCGCTTTGTAGACCAGGTTGCCCTGGAACTCTCAAAGATCTGCCTGCCTCTTTGCTGCAGTCTCTGCCATATCATTTCATACTTCTTTATTCATATATGGCTTTCTCACTGCAGGGAACTACTTTAACTCATATACATAGACCAAATCAAGAGTATGGTGTTGGTTATATTACAGCATCGGCTGACTAAATAGCTATGACTGTCTGCAATGAGGTTACAAAGAGCCAGTTAGCATGCATCAGAATAATCCCTTGATCTTCTAGAGTTAACTATGATCTGCCTGCCTATAACACTCCGGGTTTTTTTTGTTATTGTTGTTGTTATTTCTGAAATGTAATTGTTAGGACGAGGGATATAACTTGGCAGTAGAGTTTCCCAAGCATATAAAAGACCCTGGTTCATTCCCCAACACTCTTAAAATAAACATATAAAATGTGACATCAAAGCAGGGCCAAAAAAAACAAGAAACTACTTCATCACATTCCTGTTTCTACTTTGTGGCTGTTTCCTGTTTGTTTCCCTGCCTTTCTAGTTCTTTCCTGCTTAACCTCTCTGACAGAGCAGCTGTGAGTATCACTGCTGACCCACTGCTATTATCACTAACCCTGACCTCTCACGGTTAATCCCTCATCACATACTTACTGTTCCTTGTTCTAATAAAAGTTGACACTTGCTGAGACATTCTGGGCTGTCAATCAGTTCCAAGAGTGCTTTCTCAGCCTCTATTCTTTCTGTGAGATCAGTCCCTACGTAGAGATGAGTACACAGTGCTTCCAATTCAGCCAAATTCTTCAGAGAAAGAAAAAAAGGCATTTGACGTAAGTGAAAAAATAAATATATTAAACACAGAAAACAAGAGATGGAGAAATAATGCTTATCTACACCCTTTCAATACATAGTTATTGAGCAGTAATGACTCACTTAGATACCATGGCAAAAGAAGCACACTTCCTACTTCCCAAATTATTTACTTATAAACTGAGTTATATAATGCAATGTAACTTCATGTAAAGGAAAAGATTCTCTCCTTTACAAAGTTATACCTGAAAGAAGTGACACGTATGCTAAAATGTTAAAAACCAGAGTGCTCAAACCTAAAGGATAAGCCAAATGAACTGACTAGAAGGCAGTGTTGGCAAAGAAATAGCATTGATAAGGGCTTGAAAAAAAAAAGTACTCGGGAGGAGATGAGGGAGAGAGGAAGGGTGGGTAAGATTAGGAGGGAAGGAGGGAGGGGGCTACGGCTGGGATACAAAGTAAATAACCTGTGATTAATATAAAAAATAAAAATTATTATAAAAAAAAGTACGCATTTCAAGGCATTAAACAGTGGCCAGTCAACAGCTAGGAGACAACCAATGAAGAGATGGGATAGCGAGAATGACCACATACGCACTGTCGATAGCTCAATGTACACTGTTTTATTGTTTCCAACCCTACCGCCTATAACAAAGAACTAATGATCATTATGTGTGTGCTGATCTGGGCCTTCTGACCTCATAGTGCTTCAGGTGGATCATATCGTGATTTTTAATCCTACAGTATTTCTGACAGCATTCTAACTAATTAATGTATAGGTTTTTATCTTATGAGCATAAAGACTAACTCATTCTGTCCATAAATAAACACATGGAAACAATTAACTACACAGTGAGTTCAGCTACCCCCTTGGCTTAGAGAATCTTCTTAAAGCCATTTATTATTAAAACAAATTATTTCACTTGGAACTTGAATTACATACTTGACAAAAACATTGGCAGAGATTTCAAAAAACAGGTAGCCAAATGAACATAATGGGATATTCCAAAAGAAATGCCAATTTTGTTCAGTTCTGGCCCGAACTGTCATGAGCAGAGGCTTCATGCTCTCAAATTCACAAGTAGCACTGAAACAAGAGACCTCATCGCTCCATCCTTGTTTCACTTCTCTCTCTTTAGCTCCTTCACATTTCTTACTTCCCTATCTATGCCACAACCCAGTAGCCACGATTTGGAGATTTTCTGCCAAAAGAGCCAAAAAACAAGGCTTCAAATTGATTCATTAAAATAAAGAACCTCACCACGCATGATGGTGAAAACCTGTAATCCGACCATTTGGGAGGAAGCAGGCATGTTGTCCTATGCTCATCACTTCAGTTAGAGTTAAATGAGGCAGAGTTGTATGCCCATAGCACACCTCACATTCACTACTGTCTTAACACTGTAAGTAATTATATCCCCTAAAATATAGCCCCAACTCCTAAGCCTCAGTCTGCGAATATAATCTTCTCTAGAAAGTCTCTTTATAAATCCTTACTTAAAGAATTTGGATAAAGTCATCCTAGATTTGAAGTGGGCCCTAAATCCAACTCTAAACCCAATTACTGGCGCCCTTATAAGAGAGGAAGGACAAGGTGGCACATTTCTATAATCCAGCATTCAGGAGGCTGAGGCAGAAGACTGAGAATGCAAGCCTATCCTGGGTCACATACAAAATTTCTGTCCAAATAAAACAAGTCATTGCTCAGAGGTGGGAGACCTGGTCCCATTTCCTATACAGTAGAACTTTCCCCAACATTGCATGCAAATAAAAATATTGGTATGAAGTAGGACACTCCTTCTGTCGACGCACCAACACACATTGGGACATGTGAGTGCCTGCCTGGGATTCTTTTTTTTGGGGGGGGGGGAGGATGGGGTTTTGTTTTGTTTTGTTTTGAGATAGGGTATCTCTGTGTAGCCTTGGCTGTCCTGCCTGGACTCACTTTGTAGACCAGGCTGGCCTCAAACGCAGAGATCTGCCTGCCTCTGCCTCCCAGGGGCTCGATTAAAGGTTTGCACCACCACTGCCCAGCTGCCTGGGACTCTTACAGCACTATGAAATTTGAGTGTAAGATACAGAGTCCAAAACAGCAAATGTTCTTAAAGATGTTCACTTCCCTAAAATACCATTTGCACCCTTATAGAGCATGGAAGACAGTCATACTTGTAATGGTCATTATCACTACACACTCTCTCTAAAAAAAAACAAAAACAAAACAAAACAGTAATTTTCTGGAAAAAGAAAGGGAGAGAGGGGAACATGTCAGATAAGAGATACAGGGGAGAAGGTCACAGGAAGACAGAGACTGGAAGGCTTTATCTGAAACCAAAAAGTACCAAAGCTTCCCAAACCCATAAGATGGGACAGAGGCCTCCTGAAGAAACCAACCCTATCTGCCCTTTGTTTCAGTCTTCTGACCTTCTGAACTGAGAGCAAATCTGAATTTAAGCCATCCCATCTAGGGCAATTTGTTACAAAAGACCTAGAAAACTAATATTTAAAGACGAAAATATTAATATTAGTCAGGTTGATGTTATCTAATTAAGTAAGTCTATTAAGAAATATTGTAAAAAGGTCTGGACATTATTTGCTTTGCTATATTGATTTAATAAACTTCAAGAAAGGACAGGTATATCTTAGTATTCAGTCAACATTACCAATCACCCTTTTTCTCCCAAAATGTTTCCAATTATTTTAAATTTTATTTATTTTATATGTATGAGTGTTTTCACATTCACTTTCATGTATACTTTTATGTTTACTTGCATGCAAATCTGTGTACCACATTAGTACGCTGCCTCCAGCAGAGGGCATTGGATCCCCTGGAACTGGAGGTACAGATGCTTGTTAGCCATCATGTAGGTGCTAGGAATCAAGCCCAGGTCCTCTAGATGAACAGCAGTGATCTTAACTACTGAGCAATCTCTCCAGTTCCAATGTTTAAAATTAAAATGGCAGAGTTTGAATTTTTATAAAAGATTTGAAGGGAACAACAAATTTTGTTATTGTAATGGTTAAAAAAAAAATTTGGGAGGGCTGCCCTTGGCCATGTCAAGCGGCATGGGATGGGGAAGGCCCCCAGAGGCCCACCACCAGCCATGGCCCACCTGCAGTGGGAGCGACTATGATGTGTAAGTATGTGATGGAGAGATGGGAGAGAAAGAGAAGCAAAGCAGTTTGAGCATTATAAAGAGGTGGAACTGGAGAAGCAAGGATGGAAAGGAATAGCCTGATGTGTATAGCCTGCCCTGCCACCTGAGACAACAGTGAAGTCCTACCCAGCGCTGCGGCTGAGGACCATGATGTCCATGGTTCGTATTATCACTAAAGAGTACGTAGAAGTCCCTGGTATGGACTGTAGCCTGGGACCATGCTGATGTCCAAGGGCTGTGCAGAACTGTCCTTGTCCCTCATTGCCTGTGGAACTCTAGAGAGCTGGCCCTGCACCTCACCTGAGCCGCACAGCACAGCTGACCCTGGTGCTGGGGGTCACTGTCTCCTTGGCTGGGTAAAAGAAATAGCAAAGGAGCAAGGAAGGGGAACAGGAGGCAGCAAAAAAAAAAAAAAAAAAAAAAAAAGATAAGAGCACAGGAAAATGTATGTGAGCAATGGGTATTTTAATATTTTAGTGACAATTTCACAGTTGTACACGTATGCCAGGACTCATCCTTCTGCAGTTTAAACATAGGCATTTTATTATGTACCAATTATAGTTCAACAAAAAGGCTTTTGTTCTCTTCTCCACCCCCAAAAAATAACCAAACTTTCTAACCATCTTTAAAGACAGATAAACTACTTCCCTGTATTTTTCCTGCCTTTTGGAATCAAGCTTCTTGACTGGCAGTAGTATTTTGCCTTCGCTCTGAGGTTACTTGTTTCCTACGTACTGTCCTTCTTTAGGTGAGCATCCCAGAAGCCTTCTTCCCGGGCCTCTTGGAACTAATCCTTCCTTCAACAATGAATCCGAAATTACGTTGGTGCAAAAGGAGTTGCAGGTTTGGATTGTGAATGTTAAATAATTATAACTAGGCTTAAAACACAATTTTATTAATCAAAATATGAGCCATTACAAACCAACATATCTTTGCCAGTAAGAAATAACTTCATTTACTCTTTTAGTATGAAGACCCACTCTTTGGAATTAAACATTCTTAGAAAGCAATTTCCACATCCTGTTGGCAATGGGTTTTTTGTTTGTTTGTTTGTTTGTTTGTTTCCCCCTGTAAAACACTGTCAAGGCACTTGACATAGTAGCTGATTGGCAAGAGGTCAGGTGAACAAAGCAAACCTGGCTAGATGAGGCAAAAGTTCAAAGCTCAATGAATTCAACTACTGAAGCGCTGCTTGCACAGCATGCAGTCCAGTTCTGTCCTGGACAAGTGGGTCCTTCCTGAATGCTGACCAATGGCAGCCGTGGGAAGTGCAGATTTGGATGCATGTCATGGATTTGCTGAGCACACCTCTGAGATACAGAGGTTTAACTAGGATTCAGATGATCATAGGTCAAACTAGTAGCAGACCATCCAACGGTGACCACGATCTTCTTATGGTGCAAGTTTGGCTCTGGGAAGCACTTTAGAACTCCTTAGTTCAACCACTAAACTGGTTATCAGCAGCCGTCATTTTTCGGTTACATGGCACAATTTGATAAAGAAATGATTCATCAAATTAAAAAAAAGAAACAGTTCATCATTGTAAGGAATAAGAGAGACACCAATTCAAAACAGTTTTCTTAAAACTTTTCAATGAGCTCAAGAAGAATCCATTTACTGAGGATTTTGTTTTTGTTTTTTGCCCTTTCAATTTGCTTCAAATGTCAAACGACATTTGAATGAGCTCACACTGAGATCTCTGGCAACTTCTCCTGTAGTTGTAAGAGGATCAGTTTTGATGATTATTTTCCCTGGGTCATTGTCAACTTCTGATGACCTGCCATAATGCTCCTCAACTTCAGGGCTCTCAATTCCTTGCAAACTTTATTGAACTACAGCTGCATTGTATATTAGCAATTCTTGGGCCAGTAACTGCAGAGATCCATTTTTATACAAGAAAATCATGGCTCAGCAGGTGGCTGGTACCTATGTAAAGAGAAGAGAGAACCTACTCCACAAAGTTGTTAATTTAACCTCCACAAGTGCACACACACAGTAGTAAACAAGTAAAATGTTAAAAATTACTCAAATTTGCTTTTTGTCTGTGGAGGATTGTCTTGTGTGGATGTAGCAGTTGTCAGTAAAAGTCTGATTGGCCAATCATCTGGGTAGATGGACAGGAAGTGGAAGACAGGAGTTCCTGGTAGGGGGACAGGAACTCTGGGAAGGGAAGAAAAAAAAAAGCCCTTTCACTAGGAGACTGGGAGGAAGACAGATGTGTTTGTGGACAACGGAAGGATAACTGGCTGGGTGAAGCAGGGTGGACAGGTTAATTTAGGTGAGATGGTTTAGAGTCTGCCCAGCTAAGGCCTAAGTTTTGAAAATTTAAAAGGCCTTGGGTCTTTAGTTTTATACTTTAAAGGCCGCCCTGGGGCTTCGGTTTTTTTCTTTGCTGGGAGAAACAGCCCATCATCTACATTTGTCTTCATCCTTTTTTTTTTTTTCATACTTGGTAATTATGTAGCTGTTATATGTGTATATGTATATATATGTATATACATATATATATATGTAACTGTCCACAGGGCAATGCTGTGAGTGTGGACAAAAGTACTGTAGTTTTTGCACTGTCATTTGATATTAACATGTGGTTATGTTGTAAATCATTTTAATATGCATTTCTTGCTGTATGCTTTTTGATAGTGATATTGCTGTTTATTTTAGATGTATAGTATGGAAAGGATTGAAGGATAAAAGCACACCACAGGCAGTCCACACTCACAGCATTGCCCTGTGGACAGTTACATATATATATATGTATATACATATATACATATATATACATATACACATATAACAGCTACATAATTACCAAGTATGAAAAAAAAAAAACACTGAAGAAATGACTTAACAGCATCACGTAAATTTCTATTTCTGTGAATGATACAGCTAATTTGGGCATCAACATCTAATTTTTTTTAATATTGCTCTTGGATATGAAGGTTTCCAGGACTTGGCAATTACCAGGCATCATCTTTCCAAGTCCAAATAAGTTCCAAAATTCTTCTACACCTTCTAATTTACTCAAGACTTACACCTGTACTATGGACATCGGATTATCTATTTCTGATTCACAGTAAGTTCTCCCTGTGAGCTTCTTCCTGTAAAAATTCCGCACAAGGCATATTTACTAAAGTGGTAATAAATTCCTAATTCTGACCTGGAAACCCTTAAAAACAAAATAAACAAAAAGGTAAGTCAAAAGATGAAGTGCAGGTCTATTTCCTGATTATAAATACCCTTTAGAAGAAGTAAAAAGCAGTAAGCTCGTGGGCCCTGAGGATCCATGTAAATCTACAAGGGGAATGTGACACTCAGATACGCTGTCACCAACAACCTGCCTATCTCTAAAGTCATCTGCCATCCACAACTTCCCCTGAGCTCTTTCTTTTCAAACCAATCTGAGGATCCAAGAACAGGCTTCTGCAAGATGTCAGTCTTCCACAATCCTTTGCTTGGCCCACACAGCAAAGTAGTTCCTTTCCTCTTTACTTGGACATCTACAGTTCCTACAATTCCCGCTAGAGTTCCACGTTCCTGAGAGTAACGAGGCAGGGAGTTTGCTCAGGGGTGTACGTACCATCAGTAGGAACCAAGTAACAAGTGGAGGCTCGACTCCGCACACGGATTGACTGCCACCTTCCTGTGCTCCCGCGATACCCCGTGACTAAGTCTACCACAACAGTTTTCAAGTGTGCAGTAACTACCGCGCGCCCTAAAAGGACAAGCCGATCTGGCCCTGCAGCCCCCGAACGTTCCGCCACCGTAGACATCTACCCAGCGGGGAGGGCTCATTAGCTATCTACGGGACGAGGACCTGAGCCACCGGGAAGCCTCCGCCGCATCCCTCGGGTGCAGCCCCGCGCCCTGCCCCGCGGCTCCGCCAATGAGGCTGCGCGCTCCCGGCCTCACCGCGCCCCGACCCGCCCGCCCGCCTCCGGCCAATGACAGTCCTCCAGCCGCGCTGCCGCGCTCCCGCCGCCCCAGCCTCGGAGCTCAGGCTCCCGGAGGGCGAACACCGACCGCGGGCTGGGCGTGAGGGCCGGGTGGCGGCCCCTCCGCCCCGGCTCCCGGCCGCCGGGACGCCGCTGCAGCCGCACCGACGAGGGCGGACCCGGCGGCCGAGCGCAGCCCGCTCCTCGGCGCCCGCCGCCCCACCGTTCCCCGGCGTGGGGCCGCGCTCGGGGTCGCGGCCTGGGCCCCCCACCGCCCGCTCCCCGGCGCCCCAGGCCCGCAGCCCGGCGCACTGACCTGAAAGTGCAGCGCCATCTTCCCTGAGCGGCGCGGGCCGCGCGGCCCGAGGGCCGAGGGGAGGGGGAGGCGGAGGCGCCGCGCGAGCCCGGCCGCCGCGGGATCCCCACGCTGCTCGCTCCCCGTCCTCGGCGCGCTCCGTTCCAAGCCCGCAGCGGGGCTGGGCGGGGCCGGCGGAGGGGGCGTGTCCTTAGGGCACCCACGCCCAACCGCCGGTGCGCTCCTTTTGCAACCGCTGCCTCCTCAGGGCTGAGCCTCTGACCTCTGACCTTTAACCCACCACCGTGACCCAACTGCCCGCCGTGGCCACAGACGTAGTTTTTGAAGACTGGGTCTCACTATGCATTCCTCCTTGGCCTGAAACTACGTGAGCCAGGCTAGCCTCGAACTCGTGGTCGTCCACTTCTCCTTGCGTCCTGAATACAGGCATGTGCGCACTCTGGCTCCTAAATCGATGGTAGACAAGGGCTGAAGAGACCGCTCAGCAGTGAAGAGCACCCACCCACAGGCTCACAACTGCATGTAGCTCCAGCTTGTGGCGATCCAACTGCTTTTAGCGGGCCCCTGCATCACTTGCAGACATAATAATAAATAAAGCTTAAGTCTACCACAGACCATTTTTGATTCCTGACAGAACTCAGAAACAAATGCGTTATCCATGCTTCCCAAGTCACACATCTTCACAGATGTTTTGGTCCTCTACTACTCATGCTTTGACCACCATATGCAACTGCTGTCCTTAACGCCTGTCCTCCAGTGCCCAACTCCCATCATTTCTTTAATTTTGTTTAAACTTTATTCAGCTCAAATTAAACTGACAGTGTGTATGTGGCATTAAATTGTAAAATTCTGGCTTGCCTGTAACTCCTTGTCTACAGTTTTATGTGAACTTATATACGGTTTTATGTGAACTTATATTTTACACCAAATTTTTCCTTTGGAATAAAGGGTTATTAGAGCAGAGATAGGATCAGAGTCACTAATTTCTAGTGTTCTTCATTTCTCAAGAGTTCAACACTTCCGTTTGAGGGCCTTGTCTTTTGTATTTAAGGGGAATTTTTCCTTAACTATTTCTCACAGTTTAGGTATATTGACAACAAATTGTTAATTTGAAAGCATCTTTATTTCAGCAGTTTTAAAGGTAGTTTTGTTGGGTATAAAATTCCATGTTAGCCTTTTAATTTTTTTTTAAAGCTTTTGACATTTTGAAGATGACCTTCCATTGTCTTCTGGTTGTCATTGTTCCAGTTGAGGAGTCAGCCATCAATCTTGTTTATTGCACCTGTAGATAATAAGCTCTAATACTTGAAGCCTGTTTTATTTTTTTCTTTCTCTTTGCTGTTGACCAGTTTGAGTTTGATTGTCACTAAGCCTATGGGTTATATTCATCTTGATTGAAAGTAACTGTTTCTCATGTGGTCTGACATTTTTTTATCAGCTTTTGAAAAATATTGACCAGTATTTCTTTTAAACACTGTTCTGTTCTCCCTTCCTCCTTTCATTGGGTAACTCCAAGTGCAGGTTTTCCTGAGGTCTCTTCCTGTGCATGTGTGTCTTGGGAGTTAACTGATGATTGGCAGGGACTTTGAAAATAGATTTCGAAGTTCATATCTCTGTACTCTTCTTCTCTCCAGAATTGTGAACCTCAAATACAGAGGCAACCAGGTAGTGGTGGCACATGTCTTTAATCCCAGCACTCGGGAGGCAGAGGCAGGTAGATCTCTGAGTTTGAGGCCAGCCTAGTCTACAGGGTGGGTTCTAGGACAGCCAGGCCTCCACAGAGAAACCCTGTCTCTAAAAAACAAAACAAAAAAATCCCAGAGATATTTGTTCCCCAGCTCCATATCTACTCCTAGTGTTTTGATACTGCTGCTGCCTATTTGTCTCTGTTGCTTCTAGCTGCCACTTAGGAAATACTCAGGGGGAGGCAGGAACAGTGCTTTTATTCTCTCAAGGACTGTGGCCAATTAAGCTCTGTTCTCATTGGTGGTTCCCTAGTGCCTTAAGTAGTTAAATATAGTCTTTTTTACTTGTCTTGTGTAGTATGCATGCGTGTTGATGTGTTATAATTGTTGTTGAATATATACATGTATATACATTTATATTTATTTTATGTATACTTAATATATAAAATAAAATATGCACACAATCTGTCCTAACTTGTCCCATTTCTAATATTGTTTTCAGTGAGAGCTCTACCAAGCCGTATCATCGTTACTAGGCTATTTGCATCTTCCACTCTTGACCGTGGGCTTTCAACTTCCACTCCTGACCTTGGGCTTTCACAGTGTATCCACAGCCCATGAGTCCTCATACCTGCCACTCACCTTCCAAACCTTGACATTTTTAGTATGCTCATCCTTTTCTTTTCAAAAAGACTAATTTAGGGAGCATTCGCGTGCTATGGTATGTGTGTGGAGGTCAGAGGACACCTCTGCAGGAGTCACTTCTCACTATTTTTCCTTTGAAGCAGGCACTCTCTTACAGGTTCTCCTGGGCAGAGTGATGTGAGCTTCCTAGAGAGATTCCTTTTTTAATTTTCATCCTGGTTCCTCAATCTCTTACTCCTATTTCATTAAGTTTCATTTTGATGTCTTAAGATTTGTTTTTTGATGTCCAATTGCAACTATGATTCTCACATTCTAACACTTAGCTTCCATATCCCTGATACCCTTTTTTGTACCACAATATTCTATTATACTTACCTACTTCATTTAACTTTCTTTCTTTCTTTCTTTCTTTCTTTCTTTCTTTCTTTCTTTCTTTTTTTATTTTTGAGACGGGGTTTCTTAGTGTAGCCCTAGAACTTGCTCTGTAGACCAAACTGGCTTCGAACTCAGAGATCCACCTATCTCTAACCCCTGCATGCTGGAATTAAAGGTGTGCACCATCACCTTGCTTGCCTGACTTTTTGATCTCAAACACCTTTTAAAATTATTACTTAAAAGTTGTATTTCTGTCAGCTCCAGTTTTAGTTTTGTTTTGTTTTGTTTTTTTCTCATTTCCAGAAGAGAAATGACATAAATGTAGTTTTGTAAAACAAGCAGCAGAGAAGGCCGGTTATTCTCTGAATTTACTAGGAAACTCTAGAAACAGAATTATTTTTCACCTTTAAGTTTGAGTTACTGCTTAACATTATTGTTTCAGCACACTCTCCCGTCTATGATGGTCAGTCAACAAAATATGCACTTTGCTCCATATCTTCTGTCACTGAATAAAACTGAAGGTAGAATTATGTCGCTATAGCTATTGAAATCAGCACAGAAGATTCTCCAGGATGGCAGATAACTCATTTCCACCACAGAATTCAATTAAAGGAAAAACATTAAAGCCCTTAGTAATTACAAGATTGTTTTCTGTCATGCAAACTAACCTTCAGAAAAAAAAAACTGGGTGAATTGTGATCTTTGGGCTTTGTCAGGGAACCGGAGTGGCACACATCTGACCCTGTGGGAAATTCATCCAGTGTCTCTTAATTTCTGATTTGTTATTCCAGAGATCAAGGTGAGAAGTCTATAGCACAAGGAACTTTCTAAGCAATGTCATCATCTATTGAATTGAAGCAGTAGAATACAATGGTTAGGAAAACACACTGTAGAACCAAATAATGTGCATAGATTCAAATGCTGGCTGCACATATTAATTACTTTCTCAAAACTATGGCTGAACACCTGACAAAACAATGAGACAACATATCAAAATCTAAAGAGAGAAGGGGAGTTTAACACAGAGCAACTTACCTATCACGCACAAGGCCTCGGGTTCAATTCCCAGTACTGCATAAAACAAAAATCAGTAAATATGTCACTCACTTTTACGAGACAGGCAATTTAACCAGCTAAGTGGCAGAGTCTGCATGGTATCTTTCATTTTTATAATGAGAAAAAAAATCATACGATAATGAATAATTCCCATATGACCTCATAATGTCTCATTCGTGTTCTTATTAAAAATGGGAAATATGTAAAACTGGGGGAAAAGCCAACCAGAAAAGATGAACTTAACCCCTTACTGCAATCGCCATGACTTTGACTAAGCCATAGTGCACCTGTACCTGCTTGCACACACAACTACAAACACACACCTTTAAGACAGAATGTATTTAAATGGAAACGAAGTGCATAAAATGTATAAACTCTAGGAGAGAATAAGTTAGAGAAAAAATTATTATAGCAAAAGCCTATTTTATGTTTTCTCCCAGAAATAGAAATGCCAGTTTTTTTAAGTGCCTTATTCTAAAAACTTGTTATGAGATTAAGTTAGGTTGTATCAATCCATAACACTAGTAATTATTTCTAAAGTGAAATTATTTTGGAGTAAAGCATACATTTAGGTTCTTTGCATAATAATAGTCCTTGAACAGGCAAAAACCATTTCTTAGAAGCTAAGGCTGACCTTTTCCACCTGGGCAGTGATGCCTCAGATTTACCGTGAGGATACCCAGCTAACCTGCAAAGTCTCTCTAAAGGAGCCTAGGAAAGTCAACTTCTCAGCACCTCTTTCTCCTTTCTTCTTGTCCCCCAGCTTACCCCTCACAAGATGGAGTTTTGTCATATGCTTAGAAGCAGTCGATCTATGTGCATCCCCTCAGTAACCCCTTCCAAGTGCAATAACTCACTATACAGGATATTTCTAGCACTTTTCCAAGTTAAAGGAGAAATTTATAATTTGTGCATGAGATATAATGACGCAGAAGCAAAAGTTATCAACAGTAACATTCCCTCAGAAATGGCCAGTCTTAGCATACCAACCCATCTCCTTGCAGCCCTCTGCACACAGGCATTTTTCTTTTATACAAGAGATCATGCTCCAGTGCTATTTTGCACCTTGACTTTTCTGCTTGAGAATGTATTTTAAATCTCCATCATCAGTATTGTAGCTGCTCCATCATATTTCGTTGTATGGCTTCACTATGAGTTATTTATTTAATCATCCCTCTGCAGAGGAACAGGCTTGTCTCATTGTTCCACTACTTTAAATAACATATATAGCACCAGCAGCTAGGGACAGAAAAGACAAACTTCTGTTCTTGGGTTGTA